GGGAGGGGGGAAACTAGGGGGCGTGTTTTTTTACCGTAACACTAATTAATGCGTAAAATCGCCACCACACCATAGACGGTATTTGGGGTTCTTGTATATATAAGATATAGCCGAGTCGGTGTACAGTAAGTCTGTAAGGGACAGGTTGACTGTTGTATTGTCTACAGTGCATGCGTGGTACTGTAAAAATACATGCGCCGTGTGTCCTGGTCGAATAGTACTTCTTGACGATCGATTCCGGCGCTGTCAAACTTATTGTTGTGGAATTTTCCAAACGGGGCGGAGGTAATTTAAACGGGGCGCAACGATTCAAACGGGGGGGAGTTTTTCCAAACGGGGCGCGCGCGCCCCGTTTGCGCAACGTGGGGAGAACCCTGGTGTAGTAAAAGCTACATTATTGTATCTAAATAAAGCTTTAATTGAGAAACCTGTTTGAAGTAGGTGAATGAATGCATACAGGGCTTAGACTGTGGACAAAGCACATCTTGTGTTTTATGTATTTATCTTAAGTGATTTCTACTGATTATATTAAATCATATAGCTTCATTTATTGTATTATGATAGTGTTTGCTAAAGTGAAATCTTTCTATATAACTTTACAGAAGACTATGCCTTCTCAAAAGATCAAGCGCTTGTTGAACAAGCTTAGTGAAGTTCGAGGTACGTCAATGTTATTGTCTACAAGTTGTTTTCAGAAATTGTTATCTGTCAGCAATTTAAAAGCATGATGGTTGTAAAGAGCAATAATGATTTTGTATTTTTTATTGTTATGAATAGCATAAAAACTTTATAGTTGAAAAACTTACATCGATTATGCTGAAGAAAATTGAGCAATCCTAGTTGCCTAGTCTGGTAATGTAAATGTTTATGTGTGGGATTTTTTTATGCAGGGGCTCCAACTAGTTTCAGTGAAGATTCATTGGATGCTGCAGTTGAAACAGCAGAAGAAAAGGGTAAAACACTATTTGCGGAAACTTGCAGCAATCAGTTCATTTAGTCATGGGATGTAAACCTTATTTCACAATTGGCTAGTCTACATTTTTATAACTTGCTGGCAACGTCCTGAGCTATTGCTGTGTTGCACATTAATTTGTAATACCAAATGCTATTGTGTGAGCAGGGCTCAATTTTAACAGTCGTCCGTGACGACTGCATTTTCTCTCGGGCAACTACAAATTGCTTTCGTGGTTGTCCGGTGTCCATGGTTGCAACCTCTATAAAATCAATAACCTGAGCTCTTTATACCAGTGTTGGCGGTACACGTACAGTATTCAGGTATTTGAAATCTGGTATCCCTTTTTTAGATAGTAATTTCAACAATGTTGGTATCCAAAACTTTGAAATATGCAATAATGACGGTGCGCGCTTCTTCTCGTTCATCGCTCCTGGGCGATCGATCGCTCGCGGCTCGCGCACCAGCGAGCGCGCGTTCATTTTACATACGGCCAGGGTTGCACAATACGCTGCAAACGTACATGTCTAGATGCATTGTCT